GATGATGCATTTTGCAAAAAATTCAAACTTCGAATCGATAGATTTTCTTCATTTTTTCGCTAAACGTAGAAAATCGGTAGAGAAAATGATCCATTAAAAGAAAAATAGAGGTCACCGAACGTCCAAGATCTTTAAATCCAGGCAAAGCTATAGCAATGGCCATCTGCCCTATCATTTTTTATTTTATTACTTAGCGCGCGCACTCATGCATGGCGTGGCTTGTGAATTTGCGTGCGCAATAAGGATGCGCAGGAACAATTAGCGTGAACGTCCTTAAATGGAAGTTTTGATCTCGTTTTTATTTTTTTAAAGAAGCGTGCACACTGGTGCACGTTTCATGCTCGTTGAAATTACTCGATATTGGTACAACCGGCATAATGTGTCATTTACGATATCGAGCTATAGGTTTTGTTTTGATGCGTTAGCCACGTTTTACTGGTGTCTGAACCCAAAGTGTGCATGAAATTAAAAGCCTGCAGCATCCTTGTAAGAATTTTTTCAGTATTATATTTCCATTTTACGGTAAAAAATAAATTTCGCACGTTTTCAAGCTCAATTATCTTAAAACCTTATCACACGAGGATTGATACTAATACACACAAAAAATGAAGTGAAATCAAATGGCCACTGAGACAAAATGAACTCGAAACTTATCACCTTCAAGAATGCAGAATATTGTCAAACAAAGTTCTGATAGGGGAAATAAATGACACATTTTACTGAACTAAAAATACTTGGGGACCCTTGGCATGATGAATGGTTATTCACGTTTTTTACTTGAATGAACGCTTATTATATTAACCATGTTTGTTTATCCTTAAGATAAGTCGCCTCGAATGACAAAATGTCTACATCCGCATACTGTTCTGCTGTGAACCCATTCTGGACAATAACTTCAAGAGTTAATTTGTATCTTGCTAAAAAACGGCTATTTACTCTGCACATTTTGAAGGTTCGATTTTTGACTTCCTTTTAAATTATTCATCTTATATAATTTTCTAAACAGCACTTAAAAGTCTTTCCACCACTCCAATGCGTGACTGGCCACGTGAACGGGAAGTAAGAACAAGAAAAGTAGCATGAGATAAGCACAATATCGCTCGATAATTAGACCGTCAGCGTTACGCATGCGTCAATTCGGTGACTCAGCAGTTTGCGGTTACCACTTTGGATACATTTCGCTTTCTTCTCCAAAACGTTCACACCTCGGTATCCCTTGCACCTGCGACAAAATGTCGAATCGAACCAAAGCGTCGGAGCAACTTGACGAATTTGCAAAGAACCAGAAGGTAGGGGGAGTTTCATCCTGCTAGACGTCAATTTTGAAATCTGAGATTGTTTTTGTTTATTATTTTTTCCTTTATTCTTATTCCCGACACTAGTTATGTACACATTTGACGACTATTGTTTAGCTAAACACACTTTCTCGCGCAAAGTTTACAGGACCACAATTTTAGGTTTGGCGTTTCAAATCGTATTCGAATGATTATTGAGCTAACGTTATCGAAAGGATTTAAAATACCCACAACGCAAAATTGCTCTTGTGTGAAAGGCGCACAACAAACTACGTCATTTTGTTGTTCTTAGTGTCATTCTTCTTACGCGATAAAATAAGAGTATCTTTGGTCGCTAAATGTTCTGCCATCCAACAAGCAATGAAAGAAAATTTGATGAGCGATAATTTGCTTGGAACGAAAGGTGAAATTTCCAGATAGAGTCATTTTCTGTCTGTATTACGGAGAATAACAATTAATCGTATGCACGCCTTGTTGTTTTGTAACTGCTCGTGAAAAAAAAAATCGGGAAGCGCGTGTGGAATATATTTTAATCGTTGTCAAGATTTTATTCGCTACTTCGGGTATGAAAGGTTTCAAGTACTTGTTCATAATTATTTTATTACAAATTTGATATAAATTTGTCTCGTTCAAGCAACACTTCTTGATGAAACACTTCCCACGCAGTTATATAACTTATATGACGCAAGCCCCTGAATTTCTTGGTTAGTCACGCAACATTACAAATCAACGTCTAGTAAAGTAGTTATATACAGAAATGGTTATTTTACCTCTCAAGTGTATCTCTTTTAACAAGAGGCAAAATGCACAAACGCAAGAATTCATCTAATTCCAACCGTCAATACAAAATTGCGCAACTTAAAAATACGATTTGATATTGTGTTATATTAAAATGAGACGGCGCGTAAAATTACAAACCCGGATTACAAATATGAATATTGACCTGCCCACTGGGCCAAAAGTGTTATTTAGCGTGTCCTTGTCAGATTTTAAGGCTGTTGTTAGCCAGGTTCAGTTGAGAATGATTACAGAGCTCATTACAGCTATCTGGGAGGCCAAGAGGTTCAGTTTACAAACCTTTCCAGTGCCAATATTAAGCTCTTGGAGTAAGCACGATATACTAGAGTAATGCAGTGGAATTTACACTTGAAAATCCAACGTTTCCGTTTTTAAAAGGGGAAAAAGCTTATTTCTGGCGCGTGAGAATATTGGTTTCGTAAGTCTTCACGAAATCTTATTGAACACCAAAGAATGTGAAAATTTGTTGCTCTGTGACGTCACAAGGAAATACAGAAGCCAATATCAGGTTGATTGTTTAAAAAACTAGGAAAGATGGTGTGAATTAAAAACATACCTATCCTTAAGCTATTATGACCTAGTTAAGAAGACAAGGGGTACGAATGAAGAAAAAAAACTGTGTGATTCTTATTTTGAGTTGCAAAAAATATTTTTCTCAGCAACTTGAAGCCAAAAGCCCTTGGAAAAAAATTTCCATTTAATTATATGGTGCTGCATCGGCTTTGTTTTGTTGATGACGCACATCCCTCTGGCTATGAATACCTGAGCAATATCACCTCTGCATTGATTTAGAGAAATGAATACGTCTGAGACATCGTATATTGACAGACAGAAATCTTTTATCCGGTGGAAAAGATTGATAAAGATACATATTTGTATTATATTCCCATTCTGTGAGAATTGTTCTACAACTTCCCTTCACAATGGAATGAATAGTTTGTAGAAACAATGATTGTTTCCCTGTGTCACTTTTATTTATGGTACCCGGGAACAATGCTCTAGAGCCACAAGAAGGGGGCACTTTTACACTTTTACACTTTTCTTGCATTAAAAGGAAAACTAAAGCGAACATTCCTTTTCAAAAGTCGGATGAGTCCTTTGATTGCAGAATGCAGAGAAAATCAAAAGAGCGTGACCGCCAAGATAATTGACTGAAATGAAATTTGTACTTCATCATTCACGGTTGGCACATAAAAATGAAAAGTTTGTCTAATGGCTACTGAGCATTCGCATGTCTACATCATTTACATTTTTAATATGGCAGACTTCTTTGTATTTATATTTACGTAGCGGAAATTAGGTCATACTTGCCTTTTTTACGGATCGTGGGGGATGATGACATTTAAGGTTCTTGAAGTTGAAATACAGAAAAAAATTTAAGGCAAAAAAGGTGTAAAAATTCATCAGTGAAACTGTTTTTTGTGGGTAGGCGACAGCTAAGGGAAAGTAAGTAACAGGTGTCACGGGTATCAGCCATAACTGCGGGTCACACTTCACAAACTTGGTATCGTTTTTTACAGGCCACGTTTGCTTCACTCCGATCCAGCGTGTTAAGAAAGCCGTAAGAAGAGAGAGTTCAAGTGGCGTATATTTGTTAAAAATAAATAAAAACCTTCTAGACCTTGATGTCAGCTCTGAGTCTCATATCATCCGTGACAACACAAATATAGCACAGGCCGTATTTAGGGATAAACAATATGACGTATCTGGTGTTAACCAATCATCTGGCTTTCAGTAAATATCGATCCCTTATTTCGTCTTACGAATTCTACGGAGTGCGAGGTTGACGAAAGAGCTTTAGGGAATTGTCTTCTTTGTAGACGCACGATGGCGAACAGAACAGAAGCATCAGAACAGCTGAGCAAGTATTCTGAGGCAAAAGAGGTTTGTAGAACGCTTTTTAATCTGTCGGGATGGTGCCAGCATCGTTTGCTAGCGCGCGTCGGTGGGTATATACGCGCTTAACGTGAGTTTGCGTTCAGCCCGATTTCGACGAGTGTGTACTGCTTAAGGCAGAAAAACACCAACTTGCGCATGGCAAACATTCTTTTCTGCATCGACAAGCGAGATGTATCACGGTCGCCATGGGATGTTGCGAATTTCGTGAATTTTCTCGGAGGAATATATGAACTGTCGACATAAGAACAGTTGCGCAAGTTGTTGCTCAAGATGGTTTGAAGTACGGTAACAACCTGACGGTAACACAAAAACGTTCAGTTTGTTTCGAGTAAGACTAGCCAATCGGTTTTATTAACGAGGATAAGGTTATTTCACAACTTCGTCCACCGACGACGAAACGATTCAATTAAAACACTCTTGTTTTTCATACGCCTGCAGGTTTTTTCGTGCGGGAGGGGATTGGGGGGCGGGAAACTGGGAGTAAAGGAGGCGGGAACTGGGATTCCGAAGATGACGGGAGCTTAGGGGAATAGGGGGAAGTTTTGGAAGATTGTGCAGTATTGTACCAAAAGGTGGGAACCACTTTGGAACTGGCGGAAACCGGGAGTGAAATCGTAAAATGTACCTTCTCCTCACCCTTCCTCCTC